CCCCCCATTTCAGGGACCTACACGAGTTGTGAGACACCCTGTATAACAACGCAGCAAATACATAGTATACATAGTACATATAGTGTATACATGTATAGAGTAGCTTATATAGAGTACAATATTGAAGATACTGAAGAAATTACAATTAATATTTAAATATTTATAAATCACAAACTGTTACAAAATACTTTATTCGATAGCTTATTACAAATGAAGAAAACGTATGTTAATAAAAGTCTCAAAAAATTATCAACTAACAAAATAAATTAACAAAAACAGAAATTTCGTAGTCAAATAAGTATTTGCACATCAGCGTTACTGTTCTCAATATGCTTATAAAACGACATTGGTAAGTTTGTAGCTAAACGTAAGCAGTACAAATGTAAACAAACCATTCACGGGAATGGTCTAATAAACATTTTCGGTTCAGTTGACGATTACAATCCATAGAGTAATCATGTCGGGGAAAATATCTGAACTTTCAACAACCACGCGGGAAAAAATCGTTTTACTACGTAATGATGGTTACAGTTATCGGAAAATTGGTGAAAAATTAAATGTAAACTTTTCAAGTGTTCGATACGTGATAAAAAAGCAGGAGGAAACCGGTAGTGTAGAAAATAAACGCCGATCAGGCCGGCCAAAAATACTATCTGATAGAGATCGGCGGCAAATTATAAGACAAGTGAGCAAAAAACCGTTCTCAAGTGCTCAATCAATAAGCAATCAAGTAGCTGCAACTTCAGGTAAAGTTGTTTGTGCCCAAACCATAAGAAATGTTCTCCATAATGTTGGTCTGTGTGGAAGAACGGCAAGGAAAAAGCCCTTCATAAATGAGAGAAATAGGTTGAAACGCTTAGAGTTCGCAAAAGCATACGTAGACAAGCCGTTAGAGTTTTGGGAAAACGTAATCTTTTCGGACGAAAGCAAATTCAACCTTTTTGGGTCGGATGGAAAAAAATTTGTATGGCGACGACCTAATACAGAATGGCAACAGAAAAATTTGCAGTATGGCATCAAACGGAGTTGGCAACATCGCTTTTATTGAAAGCACAATGAATGCTCTAGCATACATTGATATATTGCGTGATAATTTATCACAAAGTGCATTAAAATTAAACATCAGGGACACGTATCACTTCCAGCAAGATAACGACCCGAAGCATACTGCCAAAAAAACGAAGGAATGGTTACTGTACAATGTTCCCAGAAGACTAGAAACTCCTCCACAATCACCAGACATCAATCCGATTGAAAATTTATGGCATATACTGGATTTAGAATTAAGGAAAACGAAGATTTCCAGCAAAGAAGATATGAAGAAATTAATATACAATAAATGGCAACAAATCCCAGCAGAAACTACCAAAACATTAATTGAGTCAATGCCAAGAAGATTGCAGGCGATCATAGACGCTAACGGCATGCACACAAAATATTAAAACTTTTGTTACACAATTTATCTCTAACTTATTAACGGAGGCATTGATGTGCAAATACTTATTTGACTACGAAATTTCTGTTTTTGTTAATTTATTTTCTTGTTGATAATTTTTTGAGACTTTTATTAACATACGTTTTCTTCATTTGTAATAAGCTATCGAATAAAGTATTTTGTAACAGTATACCCCTTATTTATGCAGAGTTATTTAACAAAAATCGGGTGTGCAAATACTTATTTTACCCACTGTAATTGCTGCGTTGTTATACAGGGTGTCTCACAACTCGTGTAGGTCCCTGAAATGGGGGGTAGCTGACGTGATTCTAAGCAAGATTTCCCTTTGCAAAAATCGGGTTTGAAGCGTCATTTTCGAGTTATTAACGAAAAACACGGACCAATCAGAGCGCCGGGATTACGCGCGCCGAGATTCTCTGGGTATAAAAGGGCGTGCAGCAGCGGCTGCGAGCGCAGAATAATCTTTGAAGTACTACGTGCCGGACCTCTTAGGAAACAACGAACTGGAGCAGTTTTAACTGGTAAGAGCCTACAAGATTCTTAGTTTTGACTGGACAGCGGGTATCAGCCATTTGGATACTCGACCGTTGGGTAGTTGTAGTAGCCAGCTAACGCAGGCTCCCCAATTAAGCGATCATGTTTTGGGTGTCGATTTGTGCTCTGACAAAAGGGGCCATGAACTAATTAGTTAAGAGTCAAATAAGGAGTAACTGTTCCACGTCTAATACAAATTTTAGAGTTTTTGTAATTAACCAAATATTGTTCTGTCAGTTTTGTTAGAATCTAGATCCATTATTAAATTGCATTATATTTTTGCGTTACGTACATCATTATAAAAACCACGTAATTGAAGTAGTTAGCTACCGTTTTGCGATTTGCGATATCAACAAGTGTAGTATAGTACTCCAATTTGCTTATAGAATTCAGTCGTACATACATTTTTATATTTGCTAAAGAAATTGTTAATGATAACTCTCTTTCTCATCATTAACATCATTACTTGAATAAACCTAATTAATGAAAAGTATTAACCTGTAGATTTCACTCTTTAACCACACGCCACCACGATCCCACATTCTTTTAGAATTAGTTATAGTAAAAACGAGTCGCTTAACCACTTGCGGTGTAAAGAAATTCTCGGTTGCGCGTGCCAGAACAGTCGAGCAGAAATCACTTCGCGGCACGTTCAGGCAGCGTTTGGCGGGTGGGTTCGAGAAGAGAATATAAAGAGGCAGAAGGATAAAATTACATGTGTATCAATACTGATAACTTTACACGATGAAGAGCAAGCAGAAACTGTGCTTCGGTAAAAAATTTCATTCAACAGTGGACGTGCCATGCACGTCATTTATTTTTCTGTAGCAATCGCCCGACGATGTGCGCAACACGTCGCTGGCGTTCCGGTAACAAAAACATCTCGACGTGCGTAGCACGTCTTTCCACCACAAGTGGTTAATAGGCAAAAGCCGCTCTTTGTTTCATAAGCGCTGTAAATACCTGGGACTAGTCACAGGGACGTTACAGTAGGATAATTATGTAAAGGATTTAGTAGATTAAGAATTAAATCGTAATTATGAGAATTAAATAGTACCGAACAACTACTATGTTTAACAACAAGCTTTAAAAATTTGTATTGAATGCATTCAATATTTTTACTGTGAGAGTCATAGTACTAAGATTAAATTATACTTTTGTATTCTGAAATACCTATAATTAGTTGACAATATAGCGTTGTTCTAAAGACTGAGTGTCATTATTTTTAAAGAGCTTTAAAATCCTATAAATAAGACAGCAATTTAAAACTGTAAGAAATAACGTGACGTGAAAGATAAATTGGAAAAAAAAGTAATAATCTGAAACAATATTGAGTGCAGTAGTTAAATATTAATTGTATAATTACAAATTATGAGAAAAACATTTGGGCAATCATTGATGCATAGTATAAGAAGTAGAGATTATTTTAAAGTTAAACGCTATGTGTACTATGTAACAGTTCTTTTGTGTTACTACATCATTTGTAACTTACTTTTGAAGTCAACTACTTGACATGAAATAAGAAATGACTTGACTAAGAAATAATAGTTTTAAGATAATAAATCTTTATACAGGACGAATACATTAATTTCCAAGAATGTGAGTTGACATATTTACTTCTTAATACAAATATACATTTGACAGATTATTTTAAAATTTCCAAAAGCTCTTTTCTTTGCTTTCAAAATTAAATTTAATTCGAAATTGAGTAAAAATTATATTCTTCGAAAACTTTAAAACGTATTATATATTACTAAGTTTAATTGATAGCCAGAATGTAGCAAGTTTTTTATTTTGTACACTTTGCGCTTGTTGACTCTAAAACAGTGAATAATTGATTTAGGCCCTTCTTTTTTGAAATCATTTCGAAATTCGTTCCATTTTAAATCTTTAAGCAAAACACAAACGCTAACTGTAAGAGGAATAATTATCAGATCGCAAATCAATAACAGCTTTCGTGAGTTGCATTAATATTAGCTGAATAGGGGATTCCCAATGGAAGCACTTTGCATATCCAATAATTCACTCAATTATTTGGTCATTTCGATCACGCTGGTCAGAGGTACGGCCTACTAAACTAAACGCAATGCATTTTGAAACGATTATTATATAATCTCTTTTATGCGTTTTTGCTAAAATGAATTACCCACTTGCAACATTTGATTAAAAATGAATTTTTATTCCGATAATTATAAATTATATTATCGTAGAATAGTGATTTCAATAAGTATATTAGTCATCTTACAATTTGCAATGGCAGCGTCAGGTTTATCAACGGATTAAATTAAGTGAAATTGTTTTCGCTTCATCTTGAGGATATTTCTGGCTAGAGGATATGTCCAAGAGCCTTTTACTGATATATATGTATATATTGAACCAAGATTAGAAACAGGTCCAGTTATTAATTCTAAGTCAAACGTGGTATTTAAATATCTTCAATGACCTCCATAAAACATGCTAAACATTTATGTTACGAGATTTAATTAATTTTTTAAGATAAGTACACGGCTCATGAAAGTATTTGAATAATTTTTAAAATAGGAAATATGGCTATAATAAACTAACTGAGTAATTCGAGAGGCTAATAGTTAAAGCTTTTCCATTAGTTAGAGAAATTATTTTTCTAAAAGATGTGCATCCATCACTTTAAAAACATTGCAGTTTGTGGAAGTTACTCACAAAAAAATTGTTTGAATTTATATTATCGAAACTAAATGCGATTTAAAATATTTACTTTCTGCTGATTCTCTTATAATGTTTAAAGCAAAACGTAACGATAACTTTATTTTAACGAAACCAAATATCTTTAATACTTTGAATTTAAATTTAAACTTGTACAGGTTCATCAGATTTGCTTTTAATAGTTCTAATGCTTTTGATCGACTGATTTACAATTGTGACAACAGATTGAGACATTCTGCAAGCTGTGTTTAATACAAAAACATTTTCGTATATACAAGTTCGTTTAAATTGTATTCTGTTATTTGCTCAACAAAAGCAAAAGCTACTTTCAAAAATTTTGTTATATACGTAAGTTTATGATGATAATGCGAAACATATATACAGTAAATTGTAGCATGAGGTACAGATGCAGAGCATTTTGTTCGCCAAAAGACATGACTAGTCATAATCTTATAAACAAAAATATATAACATTTGTCAATTTCAATTGCTTATAACTCCTACATACAGTAACCGATTTTTATGAAACTTTGTGCATACATATAAGTTGTTATAATTTACAAAATGTTTGCCAAAATTGGTATTTGCCAAACCTTTTTATTGGAATAATAACGTCTGATCGATGTATGTTTTTTGCGATGCTTCGTCGCGTTGTATAGTGTCTGTGTGTTTGCTACTTTTTCGTTGTTGGTTGCTATGTTTGCCTTTCTTCACTTCAGTCGTATGTGGAAGTGTGACAGCGTGAGTTGCACTGATTTGCACGTTCAGTAATTTAACGTTTTAAAACGGACCGTAATTTTAATAACCGTTTAAGTACCTCTATTTGTATTTTGCGTATTCGTGTAGTAAGTGCTACACGGATAATCTGTCAAAGAATACATTGAATTTCATATTTTCCTTATTTTAAGAAAGAATTATTATGTGTGTAGATTGACTGATTTCTTTGTAAATTATATTATAGTATTTGAGAGTTAGTCTGAAGTTTATTCTAGCTAAAAAGTCTTGAAATTCTTTAAATTAACCGTTTAAAAATGCTGACAATAGTTACTTTGGAAGTTATTAAATCAGAAAATTTAGCAATGCGGAGTTTAAAATGCAATTGTAAAATTTATTTTAAATGGCTGAACAATGAATTCAAATATGTAAGATATAAATAAGCATACTTTTTCATTGCTTTAGCAGCTTCAAATGTTTTGTATCGTGAAGAACATACATTATTGTACATATTTGTTTTAATTTGCAATTTTATAATGTCAACAGAATTTGAATTCAACTGATATCAAACTTGATCTTTTTATTTTAAAAATAATAGCTTATTAGCATTTCTATGAAAGTTCAAATATCTGTAACAGTACAATTTAACAATTTAAACAGATATTGTAGGACGTTTAAACAAACAACGAGCAAATAAATACTTATGCCTCTTTAAATTCAACGAAAAATTCTTATGAGGAAAGGATGAATATTTATTAATTAGGCACTTTTAAGTAAAATTGTAGTATTTATTTATTACACAGACTGTAATCTAAAAATTATTATTATAAATACGTGCTATATTCACTATGTATTTATACAGTACAGAGTTACGTAGATTATGTTATTGTTCAAATTATCATCGAAATAATTCTACTAGTTTCGACTATACAATGTGCATTAATATAATAATTATTACTGTCTCTGTGCAGTTCATGTTACGGTTATGATAGTTTAATGAATGTAAATAAAGTAATTATCATAGTTCTTTGTACAACAAATATTATTATAGATAGAATATACGTTAATTTTGATAAGGTGGTTACTGTGACATATATGTAGTTAAAAATATTATCGGTATGTACTTTGTGCATTAATATCCTCGCATTATTTCAATAACGCCTTCATATTTATCTAATAAATATTTCGTAGAGAGAAGAATGAAATAAGAAAGAAAGCATATATAGGAATGGTATCAATATTTACGGATTTATCTGTCTCAAAATAAAAATTTACCTAAACAGATATTGCAAGCAATTCAAAACATTTTTATTTTCTATTATATTTTATCTACTATTAAACTATTATTATTAATACTATTGATATTACTACAAACAATCAGTATTAATAATTATTCTCAAATTAGTTTTCCATACGCTTGTAATGTCAATTGTATGTAGAGTGGCGAACACGGTAAGTTTTTCAAGGGAGAATGTTAATTCAAAGAAAGGAGAGCTCAGCACTTGCGTGCAAACGTTTACTTGCGAAAATTGTATTCCTTGTCGACAATGAAAACGTCTCGTGCAAGTTAGGCATAATGTATACTGACTTTC